CCATAACAAGTCTTCAGATCATCCACACCAAGGGACACAATTTATATGGTGAGTGATGGTGTGTGTTTGTATTGAAGGCAGTTCGTACCTCAGCAGGCATGTGCATAAGCAGCACTGCAGCAATAGGAGCCTGGGCCTGGCAGTATCCCTCCTCTGGTCTGTAGAGAGTATAAGCCTTAAGAACACGGGACAGGTCCTTCTGCCTGCGCGCGCACACGCACACGCACACACACACACGCACCATTTTAGCATATTCAAATAAGATGCAGTAAACAACTCCCGTGTTGTACGTCACATTGTGGTAGACTGCTCACCCGTGTCCTCCCCGTGACACAAACATCTCGTGAAAAGGAAACTGTCGATGGAGGTCTTTCTCAATTACATCAAGCCATTTGGGGTCTCCCGGCTGGCTATCCAGCTCCTGACAAAAAGAGCATGGGGGACATGAGAGTGAGATCTCTTTGTGATACGGTATAAGTGATTATATTGTCTTTAAGTAGGAGGACTACAAACCCCTGATTCTTTTTTATAGGATTTAGTGATCTCAGCAATAAATTAAGTTATTCATTCACTATAAAGGTCAGTGAATTGTCTAACCACTGCATGAGCAGAGGCTAGTTTTAAACTTTATATTTGAAAAGATTCAAGATCTGCATCATTATTCATTTGATGCTAGCATGCATTTTGAACACTTAACCTGAATAGAAAACAAACCAAACAAAAAAGATCAATAATAAAAACTGCCATTGCTCCAGCTCTTTGGTAAAAATATCTGGGTTCTCACTCAAATGAGTAATGCTTGTGGATGACCACACTTTCAGTACCAATTTCAAATGAAATTTAAAAATGAAATGAGCTCAAAGTAGAGTTTAAGCAGAGATGTGAGGAGGAAGTGAAAGAGGAAGCTGTCGGACCTGAAACTTTCCTTGGTTCTGCTCTCTCTTCACCTTCCCACCAGACAGGTAGAGCCATGCACGGCCTCTGAGGGCAGGAGGAATTCCTTTCTGGCAACGCAGCCTCACCTGAGTCACAGAACAAAAGGGTTTCCCAAATAAAGCAATATACCAAAGGACCATGGGAGAATGTAGCTTGAGAAAAGCTAAGAGAGGCAATCTGGTGCGCAGATACAGCAAATGGTTTTCATCAGAGCGCTTCCACTGGTATTTGTTCCCTTTTTTGAATAAGTGTAGTTTTGTACTTAGAAACTAACAACTTACACTTAGGATGCATTGACTTGTAGCACTGCATGCACTCTAAAAACTCTTACAACCCAGTGATTTGACTTCCTTCTTTTCAGCAATGAAAATGGCCAGTTACTACTTATCTAGATCACCAATTTATTTGGCAGATGCAAGATCAGAATTTGATCAAAGACGAGCCAAAATTTGGGGATATTCTAACATCTGAGTCTCTTATTAGAGCTTCACTTATACATGTAACATTAAAAACATGCCACGTGATTTATATCTTCAGGATGCAGAAAACAAAACATTATCTCCAAGGGGGCGACTACTTAAGGTGCATAGAAACATAAACAGAAGTCATACACAAACACTCTACCACCTGTGACTCAGGGAGTAGAGCGGGTCGTCTTCTTATCGGAAAGTCAGACTCCTCCAGTGTGCGTGCTGGAGGAGTATCTTGGGCAAGATACCGAACCCCAAAATGATCTAAAGACATCCAGCAGCGTGCGAGTGTGTGGAAGGGATAAGCATAGAAAAAAAGCTTGTTGCTGCAACTGTAGGAAGAACATTATGACCTTCAAAAGGGCCAAAATATACTAAAATGAATGCTGCAAAACATGACATTGATAAAATTTGATCTCAACTCGTGCCATCTCTCCAAGTTGAGGCTTTGCAATCTTTCAGCAGGAATCACAAACAGGTGTTGTCGCAACAGATTAGCTGACCCGACCTTCACATTTGAGTCCTCTTGAGACTTTTGACTTGACTTGCATTGCATTACCCTTTCTGAGCACATTTGTTTGCTCTAAAGCAAAGCTGGCACACTTCCTCAAGAACATTACAGTTCCTACTGTACAATTATTATCAATCATGGGGGCACAATAAAGGATTAGAAACCCTGACCTTTATTAGTACATGTACAGCGAGAAAAGGAACACTTCTCGCCGCTAAATTAGCCGTTTCTGTCATGTACAGAGCCACTTTTTGTATTCCTTTTGAAAGAGAATCATTTTATATGAAGCCAGTACAATCCCACCCTGAATCTGAAACCGGTAATTTGTCATACAGTATATGCAGTGATACAGTGACGGGGTTGTGTCCTGGCTTGCTGCTGATTCATGGGTGTGAGGTTAAGTTGCAGCTTTACGTCGATTCGCTGAGAGCATTTCACACAGAACCAGCTAGACAAGCGAAGCTGCAAAACAAAGTGTATACAAAGTCTGGTCCTTGTGCAATCATTTGAGCGTTACCGTTTGCTTTGTTTGATCATGTGTAAGAGTACCTGTGATTGGGGGGACAAAAACAAAAACTTCCTAGAAACGACACAATACAATTCAGCAAACCACCTTCAGAAACTCTTTAAAAGAAACTGATCTGGTGAGCTTCACATGGCTAACACCATGGAAGGCATACAACCAAGCCACATGTTTTATGTAACTGATTTAACACCTGGTGCTGACCTTATTGAATCGCTTGATCATCCACTTGTCCCAGTGGTTCAGCATGTCCAGCCACTTCACCTCTCTTTGCCTGAGCACCGCTGGAGGTATATCCTGAGCTCTGGTTACACAACAGGAGGGAGAAAAAAAAAATTACAAAGCTCAAATCATTTTTTGCGCTTTTTTGCTTGAAATGACAGCAAACGATACATCTTCTCTTCTTTTAGCACAGAAATAATTAGACAGGTGACAAAAGTTTGCTTGTTTTTGCAATAAGGCAAGTCTGAAATAAGCCTCCAAATTGGCCCAAGCTTTAAAAAGAAAACAATCTCACAAAGACAGTTTATCGTTCTGCATCTACCATCAGATCTGTGTGTGTGGCCATCACTCATTTGCAGTCAGCGAACTATAAAAGATACAAACTCAAGACCTATTTAATGTCAAAGCTCTCTGATCTGAAGGAGCTGCAGTCAGGATAATTTAACAGTAAAATATTTACAGGCAAGGAGGGAAGGGGGAGTCAAGGACTTTACATTATATTTTCAAACAGAAAAAGAAAACGTAAGCAAGTATAACCTACATTAGGAATTGTGGTCTGATGCTTTACTATGGTATGTAATTATCTCATCGGCACAAGCCTGTAATTGTAGGGCTGAAACGTCTTCAAAGAGCTCTTCTTATTTAAGACAGGCCTCTTCTGGTAACAAAGTGCAGCCTATGTGTTGTAGATCAGTGCAAGACTATACTGCAGCTTCAGCTCCCAGAGCCTTTAAACAATAAAGAGATACGTTTGTTGCCAAACAGTACAAGCTAAACACTGACTATCTACAGAGCTGAGCCAAAAGAGGCCCTCAGCTAAAGAGGCACCAAGAGCTGCGGCTCCAAGCCTGCCAAAACTCCACAAGACAGGAAACTCCCAGCCAGCCGGTGCTTGCCATAACTTTCACCCACTCCTTCCACTGTTTCACTGCTGTCATGCAGGCTTTAGACCCAGCACAAAAAGAAAAACGAAATAGATTTCTTACAAAAGAAAGAAAAGAAACTGATCTAATCTGTATTGCCAAAAGGCCAGAGAAATTAAATCCAAGCATGACACAGACAGCCAGAAGTGCTCGGTCAGCACCCCCCACCACCACCACCACCGCAAAAAACTGTGTGACAGGCTAAACGAAAAACAATTTAACATTACATGGTAGAAATAAGAAGATTAATACGACTCGTTCAATCCTCATCTACGCGTTTACTGCTTGTGGTGACTGTGGCAAACAGAGGGTAATAAAAAAAAAAAGAAAGAAAGGAAAAAATAGAAACAACACGGTGCCACGCAGCTGGTTGGGAGCTCTGTTTGTCTGAGGCACATAACAACACCTGCACAACTTGTCATCACAACTAATGGACAACAGTAGGCTGCAAATTTACTACCTATTATTATTATCATTATCATTAAGCATGGCAAACCAACACAGATGGCCTCAGAGTTAAAGTAAACTTACGTGTCCTCTGAGTACTTCTGCGCCCCACCAATAAATCCATATTTATCCGCCTGCCTTTCGCTGGCGAAGCCGTTGATCTCAGAGTCGGATCCCAAGGAGCTTTCGTCGTCAATGTGACTGCTGCTAAGAGTCCTGATGCTCCCTGTGTCCACAGATCGACGGCCGTTTTCCATTTTGTCCATGATAGCATAAGAAGAAGAAGAAAAACAAGCCTTCTAGCCGGGGCAGCTAACGTCAGCGAGGTTGTGGACAACCCAGAGTCAAATCTGCTCCTGTGCATATGCAGTCGAGTCAAACTGCACCGACGCCATGATTTCTGGGCGCGAGTTAAACTTTCCAACCGCTGTTTTGTCCGTAAATCTTTTCTAAGGGTGTGCTCCAACCGCTGGGTCACATTAAACTGGTTATGCTTGAGTTAACTTGAATGGGTTTTCCCCCAGTTTTAACATTAGCCAGCTAGCTCTGCGTTGCTAACGTACTAAAAGTTAGCCTTAACTGCTTGTGACAACAATCCCAAACTATTTCTACATTGACCCCACCTTCAACGAACCGCCGCTACATTATTGTCTAGTTTTACATAGTTAGCCGATTACTTACTAAACCACCTGGTTAACGAACTAGTACATTTTGTCCTCGGCTAGCTGTGGCTTGGTTTTGCCGTCCTGTCATCCCACCCGAGAACACTATACGGATTTCTACATCTCCTAGTATCCCAAGCCTACCGCCCTCGCCTGGGCTTTAACATCCTAATGTTACGTCTGCCCCTAGCGGCTGCAGAAGAAAGAGGAAGCGAATCCCATGTCTGCTCTTTTCTGTGAGCACATGTGACCTGTCCTAATCCATGTCATGTTGCTAGATTTGCAAACGCAGCAGCAACAAAACCAGACCATTTAAAACTCCTTTATTTCAATGAATGAATCTCGTGGGCTCTACATGTTGTTACAAATTACCACTTAAGTTGCATCACAGAGAAGAAAAAGACTGAAGCAAAAGTGTGAAATCATGACTTCCATCCAGAGTATTATCCTTTTAACCTTTAAGGAGGACACGTTGTTCGCACACAATTGTATGAAAAATGCCATATAATGCAAACAAAAATTAATTTTATGACACAAACAACAACAAAATAAAGCAACAAAAAAATCATGTCTTCTTTCTGCAAGGATGGCTCACTTCTTTCTTCCACCTCTCTCCTTCAGTGCCAGATGAATGATCGAACCGTTGCTCATGTTGTAGTAAGCCAGTGAGTTGGAATCCTTGATGAAAATACCCTGAAAAGGAACCAAAAACAAAACAACAAATTAATAAATCAGCACTTTATATTAATTAATGCAGATGAGATCAGACATTCCAACAAAGCCATGAGCAAATCTTTACCTCATACTGCAACTTCTGTTTTCCTGCCGGCATGCCTGTAGCTTCATGGATTTTGACTTTAATGACAGACACCTGCGGAGACATTACATTTGCACATCAATAAGAATGCTGTGTGTGAGAAACGACTTAACCTTAAAGAGAGAAAACAAACCACATGTTGCATACCTGGTCTGTGACTGGGACAGTGAAATTCAGCACCTGGCCATTCAGCTTCCATTCACTCTTGTCCTGCATGTTAGGAACCTGTACTTTAACAGCCACTGGACCCTAGAGACAGGGAAAAGATTCAGACACAAAAACAGATGAAACTACATATCCATGTTCTACTAAGTAGGTTAGCTGTGTTTATCTTCAACTACCACAGCTGGAAACAAAGCCCTATATTACTACCATGTGCACAAAAAGAACTTTTCTTTTTTGCATATCTTTAAATGAATCTGATGGTCACACAAAGTCCCAATCCAGTCTACTGAACCACGAGAGTGATGTGGTAGCACTGGTCAATTATAAATGTAACGTAACACCTTTTCCACACTTTATTGATCCAACAAACCTTGTTTCTACGAAGGAACTCCTCCTCCGGAATCAGGTTATCCTCAGTCTTCATCTTCTTACTGACAGGCTCATCCTCATGAGGTGGGGGTGGGTGGATAGGTGGTGCTGGAGCAGCACTTGGTGGCTGTGGCACAGGTGGAGCAGGAACAAATGCTAGAGGAAGGGGAAAAAATAAGGTTATTTGAATTTAAATATAAAAATAAGGAAGGCTATGTATAAAAGGTTTGGTTACCAAATTACTCCAAGACAAGTAATATTTTCCCTAACAATGGTCATCTAGTTGTTTCTCATAAGCGCTTTAACCTTATAGAGTTGACGGATGCACAGGCATGTCCAGAACACATGATAGATGTAAGATACTATAGCTGCTATGGTAGCTTACATGAGTCATGGGATTACGTGCAGACTTTAAACTATGTTCCAGTTTTTTTAAATTGTCTTGATAAGTATGATTTTATTTGACCTACGATCAATAATTTATGGTATGCTTTTGCTTGAAAATGTGATATTCTCCCCCCACACGGAAGCTGGTCATAGACATTATTAACACAATTCATCATATGGAACTGATTACCCTCTCACTGCGGCTACAGAAGGAGAAAGGAGAGAGACTTTGGGAACGATGGGATCGTTATATGTCAAGAGACTAGAAACTGATACCTCTGTGATGCAGAGGGACAGCTGCGAATTTGTTTGAATGGAACATGCACCTGTGTAATATGTAATATGTGTAAGTAAAACAAGGCGTTGTGTATTTTGGAATATGCGAACATATGTGACTGTGTTGGTTTCCCTTGCCCTCTTTAGTTCTGTATGTAAAATAAGATGAAAATCAATAAAGAGAAAGTATTAAAAAAAAAGAAAAAAAGAAAATGTGATATTCTAAGGAAAGTGCTTTCAAAAATAAAAAAAATTAAATTAAAATAAAAACAAAAAAACAACACCCTACTGGTGGAAAAATATAACACATCAACCAATTAGAAAATTATATGGAACACGTGGCATTTGGTTGCTGAGTAGTTGTTCTTGGAGCAATGGCAAAAGAAAGAACAGTGACACCGATAGCAAGATTTGAGAATTGCAAGCCAGTCTGGAGTTTAAAGGTAGTGTGTAGTCAGGAATAATCAGTGTTGCATCTTATTGTGACACCTGATTGTTTTGGAACAACTACTTACAAAACAATGCCTGAGCCATTACCTGCATTTTATCTAATTCAAGAGCAAAATCAAAAGTAGTAAAAAACAGCCACTATACCCTTGACCCTAGGGGGTTAACTTACGGGCTGGAACAACCATGGGAGGTGGTCTGGGAGCCATGATGTGAGGCGCAGAAGGCGGCATGGGAACCACGTTAATGCGGGGAGCAGGAATCATGGGCGGCATTGGGGTAATAACTTGTCCTGGTGCAAGACGCACCACAGGAGCCACAGGTGGTCTCGGAATTACAGGTACAGCAGACAAGAGAGTGGTGCGTACTGGTGGTGCCACCTGTTACATAACAACATTACGTGATAAGAAGGTACAACAAAAAGCATTCAAATGTATACAATTACAATTTTAACTTACAGAGGGTGGGCGAGGCACCACTGTGACAGGGGGACTAGGTTTAGGCAAACTGGGTGCAGAGGAGGGGATGGGTGGCTGGTGATGAATTTCACTTGGCTTGCTAGGGCCAATTTTCTCTTTAGTGTCATCTTCTCCCACCAGTCCTTTGGCCTTGTGAATGGCTTCTATCTGCTCTTGCAGGGTGATGTTGGCCTGCGCTGCCTGCTGTGTACGAGCCATGCTTCCAGAGTGCCCATCCCAGGTAACCTGAAATGCAAAAGAATACAATTATTATTGTTATTATTATTGTTAAAGACAGTTTTATAAAAGCTGCAGTTACTCAGTGTTTTTACCTTCTCCTCTGGCTTTTGGATTTCTTCTTCCCCAATCTTTTTACCGATGGCCGTCTCTTCCACACCGAAGATATCAGTACGCCTCTCAGCCAGCTGTTTCAAGCTGCTCTCGATATCCAAACCAGGAGCATAAACTTCATCCTCAGTCTGTCTGTCTCTGATGCTGCGGTCTCTTTGCTCCAGCCAGCGTGGATCTAGCAGACCGATACGCATGTGCTCTGGCATCTTACTGGCCGGGATCTTCTCACCGGTAATGGGAGAGATGAGGTACTCGTCTGGAACTGCAACTGAAGGCTGAGGCTTGGATGCTGTAATGAAAAAATAACATTAGTTAAAAAACAAAAACAAACAAATTGTACAAAGTAAAAACTTGCTCACATAACGAACAGTGTTACCTTTGGGGTCGTAGTCTTTGCGAATGATAACCTGATCTGGAGTTGGAGGCAGTGGAGGTGGCATGGGGGTGTCCGGTGGAAGTGGAGCCTTCATGCCATCATCCTCATCATCAGATCCCTAAAGAAAGCAGCAGGGGATGAATCGATTTTGTTACAAGATCTTAAAGTTTTCTTCTTTTTCTTTCTCCAAGCAGTGGGTTAGAAAAGATGCCATTTAATTAAAAGAAAAACATATAGTATCAAATCTATAACTGGTCAGACACAAACAGCTTGCAATCTGCAGTAATTAATTACTCCATCAGTTCTAACCTCATCCATGTCCTGTACTTGTGTGTCTTGATCAGGCTGTGAAGGCTGGCCTTCACCCCTATCCTCCCGCTCATCATCTTCACCATCGCTCTCCACTTCCATCTCTACCTCCTCACTCTCTCCAAACTTCTCATAGCGCTCCTGGATCAGGATGCGAGCACCGAGCTCCTCTGGTGTGGTAGGTGGTGGGAAGTGGCCTAAGGAATTTGAGATGCCAATAAAGATTAAATGATTGTACCAATATTTACAGGTGGGGGTTACTATTTAAAGATATAGTTACTGTGATTATAATTACCTTGTTCATTAGGCTGGAAATCCACTGTTTCGACCACTACAAAGTCATGCCAGTCAATTTGGGCATATGCAACTCGTTCTTTCTCCCTTTCCTCCTCCTCCTTCTTCCTCTCGCGCTCCTGGTACTTTGCCCATTCAACACGGTACCTTACCTGATGGTTGGACAACAGGACATATTACAACCATGGGAAAGAGCAAATGTAAACGGTTATTTTGAGAAACAGTCACTGTTAAAACAGAATACCTGGTCCATAACCTCTTTTGGGTTCTCGGCTTCCTTCTTGAGTTTGGTCAGTAAGCCTTTGGGAGGGATCAGAATCTAAAGGATTAAAGTCGAGAATCAATATAATGCTTAGAAAGTTTAGAATCACCACTTGAATAAATACACACCCAGAGAAGACCAATCTGTTAAGTCACCTTAGTATACTGCTCCACCAGCTTGGTGAAGTAATTGAAAAGGCTGTGCTGTGGTCGCAAAAAGTCAAACTGGTAGTTCCTCTGTTCCTTCTGCATGAGCTGAGTGAGAAACTGGCGCCCGTTGCGAGCAACAAACTGGGCAGTGAGCTTGACAACATCCAGGTCAAATGCTGAGATTGATGGAGGATCTGCAATGAACTCAAACTCAGGGGGAGGTTCTTTGGGGACCACTGTCTCCTGAATCACCTGTGACTGAACCTAAAAAAACATGTAAAATATTAGTCAGGGTCAAAGACTACCAGACCTTTTTTTTTTTATTAAAAAAATAAAAAATAAAGTGCAAAGTGAAGTTCAATGACTTACTTTCTGAGGAAGCTGCTGGGACTGTTGCATAGCCTGCTGCATAACTTTGGGCACAGCTGCAGATGGCTCTTGAGCTTTCCCCTCCTTAAATTCATTGACTTTGTGGCGATAGTAGGCATGGTAGGGGTCATTCGGGTTGAGGAAGTTAAACTTTGGATTGTTGATCTCATTCTGACGGATTCTTGCCTCAAATTCAGGCCCGTTCCTGTGAATTGGCAAGAATTAGTTATGCCATATACATGAAATCCAGTTACCATTACATATTTAAAAAGCTGCCACATATAAAATAACCAACCTTGCAACAAAGCTGGCTGTCTTGTCAACAATGTTTCGGACCTCGGGAGGTGGATAAATGATACCAACAATAGGTTTTGTGGCTGGCGTTTCTTCTGCTGTTGAATCATTCTGTTGCCGCAAAAGCACATTTGTTAGTTAGAATAAACCAAAGAAGGGTTAGATGAATAAATAAAAGAATAAAGTAAAAACAACAGTGGTCTACTTAACACCCACCCGATGTTAAAGCTTTTCCAACTACACCAAGTAATATTTCCCCTGCTCTACTACAATTTACAACACTCAAAGCATAGACAACATTTTGAAAAACTTTAAATTTCGCTACAGTAGTCCACACCATACGGTAAAAACTACCAAGTGCTGTGATGAAAGTGGGTCGGTGAATTTTCTACGTGAAAAAATGTGGTACAAGACACATTGATCCAAATATCCGTTTTCAATTTAGCAAGTGACAGCAAAGTCTCAGCAATTACCTTCAGGTTCGAACTGAGATTTTAGACGTCGTGTGTAGATTTACCATCACAGCTAACTACGGGCTAGCAAGGTTTAATGCTGCGACCTCAAACGTTTAGCGAAAGAAAAAGAAATAGACGCTAGCTGTTCGCTAAATTCAAAAATCAAAGAGACAGTTCAAAGTATAGAAAGACAAAAAATTAACCCAGTTCACAAGTTAGCCGACAAAAAGCAAGCAGTATGCAGGCTACACTGCTGGCATTAGCTAACTAGCAGCGGTACCCTTACCTTGTTGTTAGCCTCCGGCTGAACGATTTGAACAGGCCCAGGCGGCATGGCTGCGACTTATTGTAAAACTGGAAGTAACCTGCAAACACAAAACCAACAAAAAAACCAAAACGTATTTTAAACACTACTTTTTAGCACATGCTATGTCAACAATAAAGGCTACAGGAGCTAAAAGCTTAAAATTTGCCGTGGTTAAACACACTTACTACGTCGCGCTTTCGTTGACCCAATGGAGATGAATTACTTCCGGAAATAAACCGCACAGCATTGTGGAACTTGGAGTACTTTTTTTGGACGTTGCCAAGGAGATACGGTATCAACAGACTGCACAGTGTTTTTCAGAGCTGTGTCATTTATAAAATAGTTTGTCAGACATGAGTCAGTTGCTGGGTAGTCAGGACTGTATCGAAAGCCTCCGAAAAGACCTGGTTGACCTTCAGGGAGCGATTCTGGACGTGTTTTCTCGAACCGGACCGCTCCGCTTTTCTTCCTGGAAGTTCCCGGACAAGCACTCCTGTAATCTAGACATGGTAGCTCTGCTAGAGCAGTATGACTTTGTGGATGGGGAAGATGCGTTCAATCAGCACTCCCACATTGTTTTACTGGAGTTGGTGGTTGACAGGTAATACATAACAATGACAATTTTATTATATAGCACATTTACATGAAAATTCATGTGCCTAACACAGAAAATTAAGAAACATAAAAATGTTAGATGTTTTAATATTGCTATTATTATTACATGCACAGTGAAAATAAACGCGGTTTACACTGTACAATGAAATTCTTATTTTGCCAGTGTCCCGTTGGGCCCATGCCTTGTGGATGTTTGCAAACAGACCTGTACAAATTAGTGCAGTAGCAGATAATGATAGTACAGTAACAGCCAACAGTAGTGTTGGTGTGGGAGCGGGGCAGTGCTGATTGTCTCATTCAGGAGTCCGATGGCCAACAGCTAGAAGCTACAGAGAGTATTAGTGCTTGATTTCAGGCTCCTATAGAATCTACCTGAGGGCAAAAGTGTGGAGAGGTGGTGGGTGTGTATTGTCTCTAAAAATGTTGTGAGCCCTTGGTCGTGTAAATGCCGTGTAGTGATGTGAAGGCTGCTCCTGTGATGGACTGTGCAGTTTTTATCCCACGTTGGAGATCCTTCCTGTCAGTGCAGCTTCCAGTACCACTCTGTAACTGAGGTGGTGATGATGCGCTCAACTGTACGTTGAGTTGCAAAAAAAAATGCTGGAAAAAATGAGGATTTTAGTCGACATGCCACTTTCTCAGCCATCTTAGGAAGTACAGTCTTTACTGTGATTTCTTGAGAAACTTCTGGATGTTGTGAGATCTTCCTTAATGTGTGTCCCTTGGAATTTAAAGGTTTTCACCCTCTCTACCTGTCTCACAGATGTCTGCTGTGTGTATGCTGCTTTATCCTTCTCTTCACATAAAAAAATCAAGAGTTGTCGGTCTTATCTGCACTTAGGAAGAGATTATTTTGCTGACACCAAGCCACCAGTCCTGCCATTTTGTTTTCTATATGCCATCAGTGATCAGCCTAATGATTGCGGTATCATCTGTGAACTTTATAATGCTGCTGTTTGATGAATAGACATGAACAAAATCATTGGTACCCTTCTGTTGAAGGAGGAAAAACTCACACTAATCACTGAAATAACTTGAAACTGACAAAAGAAATAATCAGCAAAAATTGACATTACATTACATAAACACATAATAATTGTTAAAAAAATTTCTTTCCCTCCCTCTCTGGCTGAACAAGACTGCTGCTTCTTGTACAAAGCTCCAGTGCTTACATTGACCGACTGAGGGGCAGCCACAGGAGAGAACAAACGCCACAGAAGGGATGCCTGTCAGTTGGTCTCATAGTCACAAACTACTGGAGTAATTTAGTTCAATTTGCCAACATAAAGGTAGGCAGACTGCTTCATTTTAGTGAAGGCATAATTAAAAATAATGGCATAATGTTGCCAGTTAACTGATAGATCTCAGTGCTTTAGGTTGTCTTTCCTTTCTTAGGAGTCTGAACTCAGTAAAAGGCAGATGGAAAGAAACAGTGATGAGACAAACACTGCATCACCTGTCTCACCTCAAATGAGCTCAAGAACCAACTTTTGCAGCCGTTGCTTGTCTGCTTGGTCTTCAACGAGCACATTTGAAATTTCCCCACAGAATCTCACATCCTCCAGTCCCACCCACAGCAGTCCATGCTCTCCTGTGTTTAGCAGTCAAAACAAAAGCTGCCAGACTGTCGAATCATCACTCATTCCATGCGATGCGTGTCATCAAGTGCAAACTCTTTTGAGAAAGACAGGAGACGCTCTGGTAGACCTGCTTCAGAGCGAGGGCCTGCCCTCATCTCTGCAGCCTCTCTTAGCAGCTGTGGATGACTCTCTGGAGCTGGGACGCATGACAGCAGGCGATGTTTCCCAGTGGGCCAATGAACAGCGCAGGGACACGCGCAGGCTGGAAAAACACCTTCAAGATGTGCGCTGTACGGTGCAGCCTCTTAAAGACAGACTAGCAGCGGCAGAAGAGGAACAGAAAAGATTCAGGTCCCAGCTGGAAAGAGCACAAAAAGACTTCAATCAAGAGAAGGAAAAGCTTCAAATAAATTCAGTCCAGCTTGAATTTTCGCTGCAGAAAGCACAGAGAGTCATTAAAGAAACAGAGAAAAGGCTGCATGAGGAGCAACAGCAACATAAGAGGGGTGAGTGAAATTGTGAATAAACATGATGAGAATTCACTGGAATCACTTTTCTACTTTCACATTTTTGAACACAGACACTATGTCCTTGGAAGAGATGAATTTCAAACTGAAGGAGGAAATAACATTGCAGCAAAATACCTTAAAAGCACTGGGTAAGACACGCACCTAAGATTAATCTACAACCTTTCTTTCATTTAAAAAAAAAGAAAGTATGTTTTGCAGAACACACACAAAATACATATTTATGCAGGCTAAGCATTTTTTTGTGTGTTAGAACATGAAAAGAAAGGACTGCAGGAGAGTCTGAACACCTTACAAATAGAGGAAGAGGCCTGTTCTAAACTGCAGCACAGGATCCAGCAGTTAGAGAGTCAGATCTCCGACATTCAGCTCCTGCTTGATAAGGAGAAAGCGAAGTACCAGAGTGCCTGCCGTCAGCAAGAGGTCAGCATCACAGCAAGCACCTGATTATTAGTTGTTTTCCACTGGGCACTGTGACAGACTCGCTTATGTGTGAGTCACACAGCAGTAATCAAATAGATTCATACATGTGTTGTTTGGTTGTGAAATCCAGTCAATGCAGGCAAAGCAGAAGTCTTTGTTAGAGAGAGTCGACGCTCTCGACAAAGAGTGTGAAGAGCTGCAGAAGCAGCTGGGGGAGAGAGATGAGAGGCAGATCGGCCTACAGAGTCAGCTGCAACAGATGTCAGAGGAGAAGGAAGAACTGCGGGCTCAGCTCACTCAACAGCAGGTAGATCAGAGCTTTTAAATGCACTTTACCCATAGTAATACCCAAAGAAGACATGTTTTAACCAAGTAGTATATGCTCCTATATTTTTTCCCCATCAGGACCTGTGTTTGAAGCTCCAAAATGAGAAACAGACCCTACAAAAACACACAGATGAGCTAAACAACTGTGTGGATGAGTTGAAGGAATATGTGCAAGCTTTGAGAGAGAGGGAGAGGCTGTTGGTGGCTTTCCCAGAGCTCAGCCCACTGGCTCAACCACAGAGTAGGCCGCTATGAATCACCTACTAACTAACATTACCTGTGTGTATTCAAATAAATGTGGCTTTGCACCTGTCAAGCACTAGTTGACTGCGGCTATTAATACTTCAGAAAGCACAGAGTGCTAGTTTGACAGACTTGGAATTATAAGATCACAAAAATGACCCAGTGCATTTGCAGATGAAAGAGACAGTAAATCGGAAAAATCAGTGCACATTAAAGTATTGCTCTTGTCTTCAATCTTGTCATTTTTAAGGAATATTTCTCATTTTATTCCATGTAAAAAAGGTACAGGAAATGTGCTTCTGGATATGCAGCAGCAACTGCAAGCAAATAGCATTCGTATAAATGTTTTGGAGCAGGAAAATTCCACCCTTCTTAGAAGTCTGGAGAAACTGGGAGAAAGAGCACAACATAATGCAAGCAGGGTAAGTCATTAGGTAGGATTCTTGTGATGCTACATAAATAGAAAACACGTGAATAGACGTATATCATAGATGAATAAACAACTTCAAACAGGGTTTTGTGGTTGTTTATTGCTGAACATCATATATATGCATTTTTAACAGGAAGCCTCCACTCAGCAGACACACACTGCTTCTCTGCCCAGCACACCAACGGAAAAACGTCCAGCGTAAGTATTCTGCTCTTTAGATTAGTCTGAGTGATACTGTGCATCCATTGTTGCCTTCTTCTTTGCTCCACAGGCAGAGCAGTGATGCAGCAAGGCTGGGGTACGTTAACAGAGGAAAGGAAGCAGGAGGAGGAGAGAGTGGTGTGGAGTCAGAGGATCGTGTATCCACCTCCCCCTCGTCCATACAAATCCACCTTCAAACACTCCACCTCAACACAGCGTGCACTGCTGCTAAAAGCCCTGCAAAAGTACACAGCCCTTCTCAACTTTATCACTGGAATCAGAGGAAAAAATGAAACAGTGGAGGTGTGAGCAGAAGCTGTTTTTGCAAGCAATATACCTCGTTAAGAATTACTGGCAACAACTACAAGTGCCTAATTTTCTTTCTACGTAAATTCTGTTTTTTTGAGTTTGTGTGATTACATATTGTCATTATGTACAGTTATGGCAGTTAATATTACAGTTAAGATGGATTGCTCCATAATAAACACATTATTAATAAAGACTGTTTTTCACCGCTGTTAAAATAGGGCAGTTATGGCCCCTGCATATTAGGTTTCATGAAATGTGATATGCTTTCTCAAACAAGCCTGGATGTATCTGAATGGATAGCCTTCCCTCCGGATTGATCACATGGTTCTAAGTAAATAGGTAAAGTACCTTGAACGTCACAGAGACAGATGTCAGTGTCATTGTTTATGTGCTTGCTGACAAGGATGTGGGAGTTTCCAGGGAAACACAAGTGCTTGCTGGTTTCACTGAATCCCTTCTGACCTTCAGGTCAGTCCCTGCAGTGTAAGCTTTCAGTAAAATTGAATTGAATAAACAATCGTGTTAGTATAAACACTGACCTTTTACCAGTTTTACCTGAATGGACACATGACCTGTCATTTCAGTCACTTCACAGACAGCATGTGACCTGAAGGTTAATCCCTAATTGGCTTAACTATAGCTGTGTAATCAAGCATATAATTTAAGGTAATTTTAAGCACTTTCAACCAGTGCCATAGATGTCACTGAAAGTCATCTCTAATGCTATGCTTGACTAAACATTTCATTCTTATGAAGAAAGATATTTTGTCATTCCAATGAGCAGTTTTCCATGAATAAATATAAACTATTGTTTATTTAGCTAGTATATACATATGTAAAAAACAACAACAACAACAACAACTTCAATGTGCCTCTATGATCTAATGGAAAATTTGTGCTTCACCTCATTTAACCTCAGTGTACTGTTGGTGTGTAGCTGTGACTTTCTTGAATAAAGAACGAGTTTGTAGTTTTGAAAACAAACTAAATGTGAATTGTGTTCAATGTCACGATGCAGTCTGTCTTCATTATCAGGCTGGTGCCCACATGACTGCAAGAACTGAGCTCCCTATGGCTGAACAGCCAAAGATTATATCAATATCAAGATTATATAGTGACGAAACGTTTCTCCCACAAAACGCTACGTCCAGATGAACAGAATCAACTTTTGGAGATCCACCGTAGCATAGTTAGAAACCATTTGTAGGCTTAGGTTCTTCCCCAAATTGTTTATGCTTTGATTTTTCCTCCATTTCATAAACAATCATGTCAGTATTGCTTACTGATGTAATTGTAGTTCTTATCTTGTGCTTTTGGCTGGACACAAGCATTCATTGGCATTAGTCATACCCACTTGCCTGGTTCACCTCAGATCACACTCAGTTCATTAAACCTAAATCTCACTCTTCAAGTTCATTTCCTGTTTCTGTTGGCGTGCCCCAGGGTTCGGTATTGGGGCCTCTTTTATTGATTATTTACATGCTTACATTCTGTCACATATTTCGGAAATACAATATTAACTTTCACTGCTGCGCAGATGACACTGAGCTGTATATTTCTTCCAAACCCAATTTCACCCTTCCACCCATCTCACTTTGTGACTTCCTCATGGAGGTTAAAACATGATTCTCCACCAATTTTCTCAAACTCAATAGTAATAAAACTGAAGATCCACTCATCAGCACAGCTTCCACTCTAACCAAATCCCACAAGTTTTCCATTAATATTGACAACTCTTCCACAAGTACCTCGACAGCACTTTGTCATTTCAGTCTCTTATTAATCACATCACCCGGTCTACTTACTTCCACTTACGCAACATCAGTCGTCTCCGTCCTTTCCTCACCCCACATGCTGCTGCTGTCCTTGTCCATAGCCTTGTCACTTCTCGAGTTGATTACTGGAATTCTCTTCTCTTTGGTGTCCCTAACAAATCTCTTCACAAACTCCAACTCCTCCAGAATTCTGCAGCCCGGATCATAACTTGCACACCATCCAGAAAGCACATCAACCTGTTCTTCGACAGCTTCACTGGCTGCCTGTAGATTCTCTTTCTAAATATTGCTTTTCACTTTCAAATGTATCCATAACCTGGCCCCACTCGTTCCCTTAGGTCTTCATCCGCCATTCACCTTATTGTTCCCTCTGCCTGTTTCACCACTATGGGGAACAGAGATTTCAGCCACTCTGCTTCCCAACTTTGGAATTCATATCCTCCGGAATACTGACTCTCTTCTCTTATTCAAGTCAAAAATCAAAACCCTGAATAGATGTTTAAACCCTCATCTGTTGAAACTAGCCTACTCTTTTTAACATTGACTGCAATTGTTGTATAATACCTGTTTATCCTTTTACTGTTTATCTTGTATGCTCTGTACAGTGACCTTGGGTTTTAGAAAGGCGGCTACAAATAAAATGTATTATTATGATTATTATAAACAACAAAAGGATGTGAATACTACATGGATGTGATTCTCTAAGAGACTGAAATCAAACTCTGCACAGTATTTTTTTTTTGTAAATGCTGCTTCAAAACATTTATTTTTTAGTCTTTTGCATTTTACATAGACATTCACCACAACAGACTTGATAAGAAGAAGATTTGAGACTTGTGCAGAGAACAGAGTACAATACTACTCAGAAGTAAGAAAAGATTTGGACCATTTATAACTGTGAGAACGTTCAGCTTAAAAAAGCACCACAGTATGAATATCTATTACCGGGCTGACATTAAAAGCAGAACACTGACACAAAATTACAAGACAGTAGATTGCAAACTGTGCAAAGTTGTACAAAATTCTCTTGAACCTGACTCCTTTTTTAAAACTATGCCAAATGCCTCCTAGTGTACATTCTTACCTATGTTTGTGTTTTGGTTTAATAATTCAAAGCATGGTGTGCAGTATAACAGTTTCTCTCCATCAGACAAATAAATAACTGAACCATTCAGACTGAGCGTTTTCGCTTTGGACATCAGTATACATTGACTACAACATGTTTAAGGCCATTGGTTTCTTGTGTAACACATGCAAACATAAACTGAAAAGAATAAAATCAGAATAAACTTGTTTTTTAAATACACAGAGTAACATATGTGATTGAGAAATAAAAGCTCACTTAAATTCAATTATTGACACAAGTGTAAACTGTGGGAATGCTATCCATCTGATGTGAGCGCTCTCACATATGCGACTTTCCCTAATCTAGGTCAAGCTGCAGACTGGCGACAGGGACCGCAGTAAATCTGCCGGGATTATGGAGGCCCTCGGGGGAGTGGTGCAGATCCCAATTTAACGTAACGACCAGTGACTGCAGTATTTGTGTGTGAAGACTCCCGTTTGATAGGTTTCCACTGATATTAATATATCGACATTTTCCCAGCTTGTCTCAACAATCGGTGTGCTTTGTTACATAATCTCATGCTGACAGGGGGAGAAGTGAAAGGGGCTGCTGACTAAAAGGTGGATGAGAAAAAGACTCAGAGTGCAAGATCAGTGACACGAAAGAAAGAAGTGGGTCATGGGATGAGATTTAGGAGATTTAACAGAACAACTGAAGTGTTCAACCAGCTAATTACTGATTATAGACCAATAGAAGTACATGCAAAATTTATGAGTGACACACAAAAATAACAGAGACAAGAATGGCTAAGCTAATGTAAAATAATAGTATAAATAGTAAAAATCGAAAAATAAATACATAGAATATTACTTATATTATAGGATTAAATACTTTGTCCTAAAGAAAAATACTTGGGGAAGTCTATATATTACCAAATAGCAAAAGCCGGTTCTGGGGAGAAGAATCTCAATCTGATAAAGGAAAAAACTGAACTCTGTGCTTTTCTTTGTTTAAATTACAACAAACAGGAAACAATGCATTAACTGAATTAAATGATATTCTACTTTGTTAGCAAAAAGAAGAGACATTGGTTTTGCACCTCCACTGCTGTGGTAACATTAAAAAAAACAAAAAAACAACTCCACTGTTTGTCACAAAGAAAGCACCAAATATGTGGAATCTGACAAACTGGCAAGGTTGCAAGAAAAGAGCTGGTCTTAGGGCATGTATCACAATTTTGATGCTTAATGTTTGCAGGACAGTAATAAAGCTCTCTACTGTACATTTGAAAATTACAAGATATACAAATAGGCTTCACAATAAGACAGAAGGAGTGCATCCCCCAGACTGTGGTGTGCATACATTTGCAGAGCAACGAGTATAGCCTGTCACGTGCTAAAGGGAGTGAGATGCAGATAGTACACTAGTTATAGTACAGCATATGACTGGGCGACAACACACCGGGCAGTTTTAATGATTACGACTGGTCACACATTATCTCTTTCTGTTGCACTCCTCGGCTGCTGAGGCAGCGGGGCTGTCGATGTGGTGCGCTGAGGTGTCCAGCTGACTATCGGGCTGAACGGACTGCACTGTCTCTACCAGGCTGCCGCTGGGTAGCACCACATAGCGTGCGGCCATGTCTTTGGGCTGCAGCTCCCGTATTCCCTCCTTGCTGTGCCAGATCCCGTAACCGAAATACACAAAAAGACCTGCGCGAGAGACAAAATGGAAAAAAAGCTAGAGCAAGAATTTGACTCTACATAACAGCACACAGCTACAAAATGGCTCTTTTTTTGTCCTTGTGTTTGATGCAGAAGATGAAGGTGTACGTATGAGAGAAATTTATTATTTAATCTACTTGAGTGTAGCCAATCTACTAGATGTGACATTGTAGTTATCGTCCATCTTAGATGGCCAGGCTTGCTTATAGGACTGCTGATGGCAAAATGGCATTTTAAGACAAATACTACAGTCAGCATGCTAATGTACGCTCAAATGCAAAGCC